AAAATATGACTCGTGCTTGAATCCTGATACAAGCAAATTGTTAAAAAGACATTTTTTAGCCATTAGATAATATTGAGGAATTGTGAATTTTATTAGGCATTATTACTTAATTGGATGATGGTCATGTTCTCAGAGATGCAGACTGACATATTTACAGGGGAAATTACGTTATCTGGGATTTGCTTTAAAATGGTCTGCAAAAATAAAAATGCAAGTGTACCTATGTATTGGAATGCCCAAAATTGAACACTAATACCACCAAATGCTAGCGAGGATGTGGAGCAACAGGAACTCTCATTCATTGCTAGTGGGAATGCAAAATGGTGCAGCCACTTTGGAAGCCAGTTTGGCAATTTCTTACAAAACTCAACGTATACTTACCATACAATCAGCAGCCATGCTCCTTGGTATTTACCCAAAGGAGTTGAAAACTTACATCCACACAAAAAACTGCACATGGATGTTTATAGCAGCTTTATTCATAATTGCCAAAACTTGGAAGCAACCAAGATGTCCTTCAGTAGGTGAATGGATAAATTGTGGTACATCCTGACGATGGAATATTATTCAGCGCTAAGAAGAAATGAGCTATCAAGTCATGAAAAGACATGGAACAACCTTCAATGCATATCACTAAGTGAAAGAAGCCAATCTGAAAGTCTACATACCTGCAAAAGGCATACCAAAAGTTTTGCCTTTTCCAGAATGTCATGTAATGTGATTCCAACTACATGACATTCTGGAAAAGGCAAAACTTGGGAGACAGTAAAAAGATCAGTGGTTGACAGGAGTTTGCGGGGAGGGAGGGATGAATAGGCACGCAGGGCACAGTGGATTTTAGGGCAGTGAAATGACTCTGTATGGTACTACAATGGCGGATTCACATCATTATGTATTTGTCCAAACCCATAGAACATATGACACCCAGAGTGAACCATAATGTCAGCTATGGACTTTGGGTGATTATGATGTGTCAGTGTAGGTTCATCAGTTGTAACAAATGTACTGCTGTAGCGGGGGATGTTGATGGGGGTGGCTATGTATGTGTTGGGGAGAGAGTATTTAGGAAATCTCTGTACCTCCTACTCAAATTTGCTGTGAATCTAAAACTACTTTTAAAAAAATAGTCCTAGTTTTTTTTTTTAAACTCAGGGATGAAAATATGAAACAAGATTTGGAACAACGTTCACATGTTACAAAATTATACAAATTGCAAAAAATAATTGTTGGCACTAGATGATAGATACACGGTGTTTCATTATAACTATTCATGGTGTGCATTATACTATTTTTCCTCGTGTTTGAAATAAAAATGTTTCTTGCAGACGTGAGTGGCTGAGCTGCAAAGGGCGGTACCCCTATCAGTTACCACATTTTAACAGGAGGCTGAAGTGGGATATCCAGTTCCCTCCCCGGCGTGCTGGCAGGCAGCCCGGCCCAGCAGAGGTGTCAGGAGCCCCCAGGAGCAGCTAGTATGGAGCCTCCTCTCCCCACACAATGGGGTGTCTGGTCTGGCTGCAATCCCCAGCAATTCCACTTTCCCTGGGATTCCTCCCCAGCCGGCTAGGGGGTTGGGCTCCTCTTGGCTGAGGCTGGGGTAGGGGTGCCCCTCCCAGTCTGAGTGCCTTTATTACCACCCCTTTGCCAGAAGATGAAAGGAGCAGGACCGCCTGGGGAGTTAATCTTTAGCCTTCATGCTGACCAGTTGCCAGGACACCCAGGAAATGAAAGTCGTCAGAGACACACCCTGCAGGCAATAAGGAAATCTGGTGTTGGTCATGCCAACGATGGAAGCCCGGTTAGCAGGTTAGCACCAGCAGTAGTAGCGTCTGTCATCCACCTAGAAGGGTACCCGCAAGGCCTCCGGTCAACATTTCTTTCCCTGGTTAATGCCTGAAATTCTACCATTAACACTGGACTGGCCCTCAGAGAGAACTCAGCTTCCAAGATTTTGATTTTTCTTTCCCCGAGTTGAGAAGCTAATGAAAGCAATGGACCGTACCACCTGCACCAACAGGTTTGCTAACAATCTCAGGGGTTTCATGACCACTCACGCCATGAAGCCCATCCGTAGACACCAGGTTAAGAACCCTGGGCGGAGTTTACTGGTTCCAAAGATTTCCTTCCTTTGAAAGAATTATACCCCAGAGCTCTCTTTAAAATGCAAATGACCTTGGGAAGGTCTCAAAGACTAAACAGCCCCCATGAAAGAGTTTTTCCAAGCAGAGGACAGAGATAGCCTAAGAGACTTTAACAGCAGGGCTGGGAAAAGGAGAGCCTGGGGGTGGGGAGGCTCCATGGGGGCTCACAGTTTTGCCTGGAACTGGAAGGGGAATATATTGAGCCTAGAGTGCTAATAGCTAACTTCAGGGAGCACTTATACGAACCTTGTGAATTAAGTGCTGCCAACATCCTCATTTTATGGATGAGGAAACTGAGACTGGACATGCTACCCAGATAGTGGCAGAGCAGGAATTTTAACCCTCCATCAGCCTGAGATCAGGCAGCAGAGGCTCACCTTCACCTGCTCATTTGATCCTCACAATGAGGTATCCTTCTTTGATGGAAGAGGAAATTGAGGCAGTTCACTGAGGGCCACGCAATACCCTGTCTCCACAGGAAACCCCTGTGCATCCTCTGTTCACCCTGGCTCACCCTGGACCGCTGAGAGCAGGCAGCCCTTCCTGGCCCGCTCCCTGGAGCTTGGAGAAGGGCTTGCCGAGAAGTCTGAAGCGAGCTCATGCCTGACCTCTCCTCACTGCCCCTAACTGTTTTCTAAGATGCTTTTTATTGAATTATCAGAGTGTAATGGAGGAGTCGATGAGAGCTGCCGTGGAGTTACAAGGCCAGGGCTTTGTGGGAGGAGGAAAGCAAAGCCCTAAAGTCTCCCTGGGCCGAGTGATGGTATAAAACATGAATTTTTACATAACTGAGGGGGAAAAAAATAAACGGACAAGCCGCCCCATGGGGGAAACGCCTCTTTCTGTATTTCCATTTTCTTGCTTAATGCACTGTCCTGCAGGAGCCTCAGTGGGAAAGGAAATACTGGAGCCTTTTCCCTCAAAGTCTCCTGATGGGTTGAGGCAGAGAGAGAGCCAAGATGCAGAAATCCAAATGGCCTGGGCGTGTGCTCAGAAACCCATTAAAATGGAGGGGACAGGTTGGGGGGTGGTGGCTGGACTGACCTGAAACAGTGTCTTGGTTCAAGACAGTGCCTCTCCTCTGGGGTTGAGAAAGTAGCCTCAATGGGCTCAGATTCACTTTTAGCTCTGGGTGAAATATTGTAAACATGGTCTTCCTCATGAGCAAGGGGGAAAGGGGGTGGTCCGTTCCAAAGAACAACCTCCACACCCAGCACTTACTGAGCAGTTGCTACCAGGCAACAAGCACTCTGCTTAGTGATTTTCTTATATTAGCTCCTAAGGACCCATTTATACAGATGAAAATACTGACTTGCCCAAAGTCGCACAGCTAGTGAGTGGCTGACTCCACACACTGTAGTGCTTTTGTTTGTTTGTTTGTTTTTGTATTTTTCCAGCTTTATTGTGATACAGTTGACATATAACATTGTGTAAGTTTAAGGTGTACAAAATGTTGATTTGATACACTTACATATATTGCAAAATGATTACTACCATAGTAACTAACACTTAGCTAACACACACCTAACTCATAGCTAACACCCCCATCATATCACATAATTACCATTTCTTTTTACACGTACTGTAGTTCTGATCATGATTTAAGGGTAAAGGGAAAGATGGTGTCCATTGCATGGGACATAGAAAGAGTTATTTGCAAATGAAAGGTTTGGGTGATCTCTAATGGATCTCTTCCAGTCAACATTAAAGGACAGATTGAAAACTGCAGCTCCAGCTGGCGATTTTGTGGGACCACATGAGGTGAAGTTAATAGAATAGGGGCTCTGGACTCAGAGGGAGGTGGGTTCCAGTCCTCTATCACTTCCTACTGGCTTCAAATTCTTTATGCCTCAGTTGTCTGCCTATCAAATGGGAATAATAACACAGCTCTTGTGTTTTGTTTTGTTTGTTTTGCAGTACGCGGCCTCTCCCGTTGCGGAGCACAGGCTCCGGATGCGCAGGCTCAGCGGCCATGGCTCACGGGCCCAGCCACTCCGCGGCATGTGGGATCTTCCCGGACCGGGGCACGAACCTGTGTCCCCTGCATCGGCAGGCAGACTCTCAACCACTGCGCCACCAGAGAAGCCCTCTTGTGTTGTTTTGAGATGAGATTAAATGAGATGGTTAATGTCATGCTTAGCACAGAGCCCGGCACGGTAACTTTTAATGCCCAGCACCTATTGTTAACTATTATTATCCCTCACCTCTGTATCGAGCTTTTGTGGTGCAGCAAACATTGGTCTTATTAATTGTGTGACAACTTCACAACAACACAGGGAAGCTCGGTGATTATTATTCCCATTTGGAAGGTGGAGAAACTGAAGCTTTGAAGGGCGGGGGAGGGGGGGGCGGGGTCGGGCGGGGTCCCGCCCTGGGGGGGGGGGGGGTCCCGCCCAGTGAATGCCCAGTGAATTGATGGAGACCTGAAGTTAAAAAGACAGAAGTAGTTAAAGAGTAAAATCCTTTCTGGTCCCAGGTGTTAGTGAGCCACCGCGAGGCTGGTATTCAAACCTGATGGTAATAGGAATCATGGAGCCCTACCCGCTCCTCTGCCTCTACAATCCGGTCACCGGGTCGGCATGAGGCTGGGGGGCGGGAGCGGGGGCGGAGCGTCCGCCCAAGCCAGCGGAGGAAGCCCGAGGCTTTTCCGCGCTGGTCATTGGCTGCGGCCGGGCAGGTGCATCCTCAGCCAATCAGCGGTGCCGGAGGCGGGGCCGTCGAGGCTCACCTGGCTCCCGCGGCACTGCCCAGCTCAGTGGCGTCCGGAACCCCAAAGCACCTGTGAATTCGCGGAAGTTCTGCCAGAGTCGAGCCCGGCCCAGCTCGGTCGGACCCTACTCGACCCCCGCCCGGCCCGCCATGGGCCCTCCGTGCCGCAGCCTCTCCGCGCTCCTGCTGCTGCTGCTGCTGCAGGTACGTTGGGTCCCCTGACTTTGCAGAAGACGCCTTCCGGACCCACCAGCCGCACCCCGGCCCCCAGCCCCTTCCTCTCTTTCGCCGTCCCTTCCTCTCTCCTGTCATCCCCAGTCCCTCTTCTTCCAAGAAAGTTTGGGTACAAAGGGCCTGAATGGCCTGGAAACTGCGCCGCGCTCTGGATTCCACGGAGAAGGGAGTGGGAGCGGGTGAGAGTGAAGGGCGAGCGCGGCTTTGCCCACTGCCTCCCGCAAATGCCTGAGGTGGGGGGGCGCGCCTCACTGCAGCCTCCGGGGACTCGGGTGGGCTAAGGGCGGGCAGCGGAGGGCATGGAGTAGGGTGGGCGTCGGGGTATGGGATACGGGAGCCCTGGTGCAAGTCCGGGGGGAGCCGGGAGTAGTGGAAACGACCTCTGAGGTAAGGCAAGGGGAACCAATAGATAAAGAAGGCACCTGCCCTGTAAAGAAAGGGTGGTAAATAGGTATGGGGACGTCCTCGGGACAAGAAAGTAGGGTCAAAAGGGATTGGAACGCCCCTCGGTCTGAGGAACTGGGCTTAAGAGTGGGAGCTCTCCCAGTATAGGGAAAGTGGAATTTGGAAGCGTAAAGATGCCTCCAATGAAATTAAAAAGGAGACTGGAAGGAAAGGGGTGCTATGTCTGGAGAAGGTGACCCAGCAGCCGCCTCTCCTGGGAAGTCCTGGGGGCTTGGCGGCCACAGGTTTCCGAATGAAAGAGTTTGGCGTGGCTGCCTGCCCGGAGGGGTGGGTGGAGATGGGCATGGGGGTGGGTCATTCCCACAGTCCTGGCGCCGGGAGCGAGGGAGGGGAGGCACTGTTGGTTTCGGTGTGGGCGGGAGGGGACCCTCTCGAGTCACCCGGGTTCCATATCTTTCTCCTACCCAAGGTCTCATCGTGGCTCTGCCAAGAGCCGGAGCCCTGCAATCCCGGCTTTGGCGCCGAGAGCTACACGTTCACCGTGCCCCGGCTGCACTTGGAGAGAGGCCGAGTCCTGGGCAGAGGTGAGGGCGCGCCGCAGTTGTCCCTGAGCGGGGTGGGGTGGGAGTGGGAAAGGTCTGAGAAATTGCGCTCCCACGCCCCTGGGCTGGACTGGGCTGGACTGGGCTAGCCACTTCTTCCCTGGCTCAGGTGACACCCCTTTGTAATTTACACAGATGCAGGGATCTAAACTTTTGCCATGATAGAGCAGTTGGGGTTGAGGGGGCTATCTTGTATGGTTGACTTAGTTATGGGGGCCACTTATTAGAGGCCTTCAGTGTGTCTCATATTGTCCTGACCACTTTATATATATATATATATATATATATATATATATATATATAAAATGTTTTCAGGGCTACTGATTTTTTTATTTTTTTACTTTTAAAAATTTTTGGCTGCACTGGGCCTTCATTGCTACGCGAGGGCTTTTCTCTAGTTGCGGCGAGTGGGGGCTCCTCTTTGTTGCGGTGCGTGGGCTTCTCATTGTGCTGGCTTCTCTTGTTGCAGAGCACGGTCTCTAGGCGCGCGGGCTTCAGTAGTTGTGGCACGTGGGCTCAGTAGTTGTGGCATGTGGACTCAGTAGTTGTGGCTCGTGGGCTCTAGAGCGCAGGCTCAGTAGCTGTGGTGCACCGGCTTAGTTGCTCTGTGACCTGTGGGATCTTCCTGGAACAGGGCTCGAACCCATGTCCCCTGCATTGGCAGGTGGATTCTTAGCCACTGCACCACCAGGGAAGCCCATCCTGACCACTTTGAGGCAGTCTGTCATTTCAGGCTGCAAAAACCTGATGTGTGGGAAGAGGGTGGGGGTGGGTGGTAATTCCTGTGGTGCAGATGAGCAAATGTGAGGC